CCAGCCTCCGGCCACCAAGCCGCGGACCCACCGCGCCGCCCCGCGCCATCCACAGCGGAAGAGCTGAGGTTTAAGAGCCTGCACCGAAGAGACCCGTGCGACCCTGCCCCGGCTAGCGCCCCCTACACCCCCAAAGAAGAGCCAACCAGAGCAGCCCCATGGCGGGTAAGTGCGCTCGCCTCCCCACCGGGCCCCGGGCGCAGCGCGGCCTGCGGCTCCGCTGGAGCGACGCCCCTCCTCGGCCCGCCGGCCGCGGCCCGGCTCCCACCCGCAAGGCAGTGGACGCTGGGGCCACCCTAGTCAGCCAGGTACGGGGGACCCCGCCTTCGCACCACCCGCCCTGTCGGGCCCTGGAGCTGGAGAAACCCCATGCTGGCACTTGCCCGCACCATACTCTTTTTCTCATCCTGGATCGCCAACCAGAGATCCAGCGTCTATGTGCTCAGTGGACTCTGAGCGAAGCCTCCCAGGTCCCCCCGCCCCCCATGTGGGGGTGGGGTGACTCAAGTCTGGATTTGTCTCACCTGACACCCCTCCCCCTCTCCCACTTAGCTGCTGAGCCTCCCACCTCCCGTCCAAAGTAGGGGGTGAGGGGAGGGAGGGCGGAGCGGTGTTGGGGAAGGTTACTGGATCCGGGATCCAGCCTTGCAGCAGGTTCCAGATCTCAAAGGTAGAGCTCTAAATGAACATCAGAGTGGAGTCTTCCTGGGGTATCATTGAATGCACACCCAAGCCCACACTCAAACCTTGAGCGGAGATCAGGGGAGGCAGAGGCAGAGACTTGGCCAGGGAGGTTTTCCCTCCCTCCCCCTCCCCTCTCTCTCCTTCCTTTTTTTGTGCAGGAACTAGGGCCTGAAGTGCTGTCTCTTAGCTTTTTCACTCAAGGCTGGCACTCAACCACTTGAGCCACACCTCTGCTTCAGCTTTTTGTTGGTTAGTTGGAGATAAGAGTCTCCAGGACTTTTTTTTTTTTTGGTCGGTTGTAGGGCCTGAATTCTGGGCCTGGGCGCTGTCCCTCAGCTCTTTGGCTCAAGGCTAGCGCTCTACCACTTGAGCCACAGCACCACTTCCAGCTTTATCTGCTCAGGTGGTGCTGAGGAATCGAACCCAGGGTCTCATGCATGTGAGGCAAGCACTCTACCACCAAGCTACCTTCCCAGCCCTCTCCAGGACTTTTGAACCTCCTGTGTAGGTATGATTACAGGCTTGAGCCACCAAGTGCCCTAGTTAGGTTTGCTTTCTGTTCAGACACACAAATAAATGATTCCCATTGACCACATTCTGACATCTGGCTTGCCAAGAGGAATCAGAGGGGCTCCAGGGAAATGTCTTTTCCACTGAGACCTTAGCAGTTAGTCAGCAAGCAGCCTGCTCACCTGCCTGCCACTCCTGGGGCTGTTGTCCTGCCCTGCCCCAGAGGTCAGAGGGGGGTAGCATTCCTCAGGTGGACTCACATTCTGCCCCTAGCTCAACTGGCCCTGGTGATTGGGGGCATCATTGGGGGACTGCTGCTGGTGCTGCTGATCGGGGTGAGCTGCTGCCTGTGGAGAAGGCTCTGTGTCACGTTCACCTATGAGGAGTTGCCAGAGTCACCAGCCATGACCACTACCACTGCTGCCTCCAATAGCCCTGGGGACAGGTGCTGCCAGCCACATGGGGAGGGCCAGCTGCACAGGTGAAGCAGAATATGGAAACTTGGGGGTGGGGGTTCTGGGTCTTTAGGACCCTTCCTGTGGAGTTTGCCTTTGGGGTGGAGTGGGAAATAAAGTTCTGTCTGTAGAGTACTTATTATGGGTCATCAGCATACGAGGGACTCTGCAAGAAATCCCAGAAACCTGGCCATAAGATGGAGGCAGGCATTATGAACCTAACTTTCCAGGTGAGGAAACTGAGGCTTAGAGTGTATACATCATAGGTAGCATGACAAGCAAGAGAATAATTAGATCCCAAACAGGCTGAGGTTATGTTGATTCTCTGCTCACAGCTATGAACAAAGAGATGCTGGGGCTCTGGTTCTGGCAGATGGGGGGGGGGAGAGAGAGGGTGGAAGAAAGAGGGGAAGGGATTGGAGAGAGGAAGGGGAAGGAGAGGGGGAAGAGAAAGAGGGATGGATAGGAGAAGGGGAGAAGAGAAGGAAGGAAGAAGAGAGGGAAGGGAGAAGAGAGGGAAGGGAGGAGAGAGGGAAAGGAAGAGAGAGGGAAGGGAAGAGAGAGGGAAGGGAGGAAATAGGGAGGGGACCCAGGAAATTATGCTCTTGTGTTTTGTTCCTGTGGCTTTTCTCCCTCCAGCCCCTGGTACTCAGCCTCTCCTCTGAGCCTTCTGTGGCTGCACCAGCCCTTTCATGTTGTTTTATATTTCCTTACCTCTGATCAGGCCACCAAATGTGCCATTTGTGGTGCCTCCTTCTCTCCAAGGCCGAGACTGGGTGCCCCTGGACAGCCGAGATAGGGCTCAGGCCCCACAGGACCCCAGCCCAGCCCCCAAGCTCCCATCTCACACTTCCACTGACAGCCTTGGTGCGTAAGTACTACCTGTACTACTCCTCAGGCTCAGCAGCTGAAAAAAAAAATCCATCTATTTTCACCAATCTGGCACCTGAACACAGCTTAGGCCAGCCCAGAGATGTCAGAGTTACCCCATTCATTCTGCTAGTTTTCATTCACTAAGTGCCAGCTGAACTCCATGCCAGTAAGCTGACCTTATCATGATTTTGTGGGGGAAATAATATCACCCCATTTTATACGTTCTTACATGGAGGCTCAGGAAGGTTAGCATTATCTTCCTCAAGGTCATGAAGTAGCAGTGATGGTTTGGAGCCCAGTCATGCCCAGCTGCAGAGCTGTGCCTGGGTCCTACTCTAGAATGGTGGAGGGCAGAAGGTTAAGAAGGAGAGACACAGCTTCCTAAGTTTCCCTTTATTCTGGAGATATCCTCGAAGAACTTCCAAGGAATCAGACAATAACCAGTTTGGCCCTTCTAATTTGAAGAGAAAGGAAGAGAAAAAAGGACATATATTAGCTGGGTGCTAGTGGGGCACGTCTGTAATCCTAGCTACACAGGAAGCTGAGATCTGAGGACTGGTTTGAAATCAGCCCTGGCAGGCAAGTCTGTAAGACTCTTATCTCCAATTCACTAGCAAAAAGCCAGAAGTGGAGCTGTGGCTCAAGAGGTAGAGTGCTAGCCTTGAGCAGAAAAAAAAACTAAGAAACAGCACTCAGGCCCTGAGTTCAAGCTCTAGTACTGGCACCAAGGAAAAGAAAAGAAAAGAAAGAATGAAAAGAAAAAGGAAACCTCTTATCACTGAGTCTTTCTCTAAACATCACAGATAAGAGCCAGCTAGGCATTGGGCACCATGTGCTACAAAGCAGACATTTACCTCTAGAGATGAAGGTCAGGAGAGGGACCAGTGTGGAATGAATGTTCTGGGTTCTGCTAAGGCTTTCAGCTTGGCTTTGGAAAACTCCCTGGAGATACCATACCAGCTGAAGGAGTAGGACTTAGTCTGAAAAGGACAGAAGGAGAGAGAGCCGTCAGACTAACTAGGATCAGAGCATAGGACAAGGGCCAGTGTGGGGGTGCCTCAAGGGTTCGCCACTGTTCCCCATGTCCCTGTCTTCCTCCGGGTGGTTAGACCTTGCTGCCCCTCTGTTGTAGGAAAGGCATGTGTGGTGGGAGCCATCAACCCAGAGCTGTACAAGTTCTCTGAGGACACAAGTGAGACTGACTTCCCAGCTGGCTGCCTGGGCAGGCTGTGGTTCTCGGTGGAGTATCACCAGGAGGCTGAAAGGCTGCTGGTAGGCCTGATCAAGGCACGGCAGCTGCAAGCTCCCTCTGAGACCTGCAGTCCCCTGGTGAAGCTCCACCTGCTGCCTGATGAGCGACGCTTCCTTCAATCCAAGACCAAACGCAAAACTTCCAACCCGCAGTTCGATGAACACTTCATCTTCCAGGTAAGGCCTCTGGAACAAGCAGGGGCCTATGTGGAGACTCCCTGTAGGGAGACTTACCCAGGACAGCCCAGACCCCTGCATAGTCAAGGCCTTGCACGCCCCACTTCCCATGAACCTTTCTGCCTCCTGTCCTGTTTTAGCTAGCAAGCAGGGGCTGGGCCTGCAGAAGTCAGTGCCTAATGTGGTAGGCAGAGGAGAGACTGGAAGGGGATGACTAGAAGCTGGGACCCTCCTGTGCTGGCTGCCTAGAGGAGGTCTCAAGATTACACAGCCCAGAGTGGGGCACTGGTGGCTCACACCTGTAATCCTAGCTACTCAGGAAGCTGAGATCTGAGGATCACAGTTCAAAGGCAGCCCAGGCAGGAAAATGAGACTCTTATTTCCAATTAATCACCAAAAAGCCTGAAGTGGACCTGTGACTCAAGTGGTAAAGTGCTAGCCTTGAGCAAAAGAAGGCAAGGAAAATAGCTCAGGTCCTGAGTTCAAGCTCTCATTATTGGCACAATTCAAAAAAAAAAAATAAGGGACACTGGTGGTTCACACCTGTAATCCTAGCTACTCAGGAGGCTGAGATCTGAGGATAATAGTTCAAAGCCAGCCCAAGCAGAAAAGTCTCTGTGAGATTCTTTTTAATCTCCAATTAATCACTCAAAAACTGGAAGTGGCTCTGTGGCTCAAGTGGCAAAGCACCAACTTTGAGCACAAAGAGGCTCAGGGACAGTGACCAGGCCCTGAGTTCAAGCCCCACAACTGACAAAATAAATAAAAATTAAAAAACAATTACACACCCCAGATCTAGGCAAGAGGTGCTTTGGACGACCTATTGAGTACCAAGCCCTGGTCCACAAGGCTCAAAGGAAGCCCAAAGCCCTATGGGTAGTATGGGATTTGGGCCAAAGTTATACCAGGAAGGCAGGATATCGTTTATATTCTACCTAGAAACACCCCCTCCCCCCAGGCACCTTGGAGTGGGGCAGGAATGTCCTAAGCTGTCAGAGGCTAGAAGGCCATGTTAGGGCAGAAATGCTACCTCCGCTGCCCTTGGGAGGGCTGGCGTAAGGTCTGGATGTGGCAAGGCACTTGGGGCCCTTAGTCCACAGTGACCTGAGAGCCTCAGCAGGTGACTAGGGGCCCTTGGGGGACACTGGAAATCAACACCTGCTTGGAAGCCTTGGACAAACATTCTCGAAAGAGCTGTGCAGCCAGTTGACCTGAGAGGTAAGGAGAAGCCAATTAGCTTCCAGAAAGTGTGCACTATCTGAGGTCAGCGTCATAGTTCATGCCTTCTTCAGAGGCTGAGAGCTAGGAAAAGGGGGCAGCCTGGTTCCAGCAAGGGTCAAGCTGTGAGAACTCAGAGGTGAATCTGCCATTTGGGGGATCAAGACCAAGGCACTCAGCCACTCAGCACTCTCTACTTACCCAGCTTCAACCTGATCCTTGAAGAAAAGGGGCCACAGGGAGCGGTGGGGGGGGCAGGGAGGATCAGTGTTAATTGGCCTTCTGTGATAGGTAACACACCATGACTGGGGTTTTACATCTCTGAGAAGAAGGACCTAGATCTCATTTTATAGACAAGCAGGCTAAGTCTCAGAACCAGAAGAGTTGGTGTCCCTGATGTCATTAGCAGAGACAGGCCATGTCCTGCTATGCTTTATGTGCAAGAAAATTACCTCAAGGCCTTGCTCAAGGGCAGATTCTGATTCCCATGTCTGGGGAGTGGCCTCAAATCTGACCTTTCTAACAAGACCCCAGCTGCTGGTGGACACTGCAGGTCTGCCCAGTTTACTATGTGACCCAACTAGGGCACATACTTCCGCAGTGTTTGATCCTGATGCTAAGAAGGGTCCCTTAGGGGTACCTGGATTTGAGGTATGTAATCTTGAGATGCCTCTCCCCCAAAGTACCTGTGTACAATGTATCAAACATCATCACATTTCTGTACCCTTATGTCTGTTCCTGGCTGGATCCTCACCACCCCCAGGTGTCTAGCAAGAGCATCACCCAGAGAGTGCTGAGGTTCTCAGTGTACCACGTAGACAAACAGAGGAAACACCAGCCCCTAGGCCACGTGCTGTTCCCCCTGAAGACTGAGACCCTGGCAGGTGACTGCCGCAGGATCATCTGGAGAGACCTGGAGGCTGAGAGCCTGGAGGTAAGGTAGAGGTCCCCAAGTGTCAGCCCCACTGTGGGCAGCCCATAGGTGCAGACGGGATCCACCCCCTACCTGTTGCCAGCATCCGTCCTCAGCTCCCTGCATACCACTCAGTACCTGTGGTAGGCACAGGTACTGAGCTACATGGGGTGAAAGGACAAGGACCTGCTCCTGGGCAGGGAGGGCACCCCCAAGGTCATTTTTACTCAGGCTGTCAGATGACCTGGACAACTTGGAGAAGGTACATTGGGATTCTCACCCAGGTCAGTCAGCAGTGACAAATAGATCACAGGGAGGGGGGATGATATTAAAAATATATTATATAATACATAATATAACACATGATGTAATATTATGTATAATAAATTATACATAATATCCTATATATCTTGGGGGGTACCAATCCTGAGGCTTGAACTCAGGGCCTGGATACTGTCCCTGAGCCTCTTTGTGCTCAAGGCTAACGTTCAACCACAGCTCTGCATCGACTTTTGGCTGGGTAATTGGAGATAAGAGTCTCATGGACTTTCCTGCCCAGGCTGACTTTGAACCGTGATCCTTAAATCTCAGCCTCCTGAGTAGATAGGATTACAGATCTGAGCCACCGCACCCAGCCTGACAAGTATTTACCCATTAGTTGACCAATCCTAAGAAGGACATGAGCGCCTCAAAATTATTTGGGGAATGCCACAGAGCTGGCTGTGAATTCTTGCCTCTGATCCGTTACTGTGGGTTGAGCATCCTTACTTCAAATGTTGCTGTTTTAGATTTTGGAACATTTGCATAGAATAAAAAGATATCTTGGGGAAGGATCCCAAGTCTAACACAAAATTCATTTCCATTTCATACATACCTCATACACATAGCCTGAAGGTAAGTCTGGGTTTTGTTTTTGTTTGTTGTTTTTTTTTTGGCATGGGGAGTGCCCATACAGAGGCTTGATCTCAGAGCCTCGTGCTCTCACTTGGCTTTTTTCCACATGGCTGGCTCTCTACCACTTGAGCCGTATTTTCACTCTTACCTTTTTTGCTATTTAACTGGAGATGGAATCTCTTGGATTTATCTGCTCAGACCGATTTTGAACCTCAGTCTTCAGATCTCAGGTTCCTGAGTAGAATTAGGTGTGAGCCACTTACTCCTGGCTCACCTGAAGATAATTTTATACACTCTTTTAAATGGTTTTGTAAATGAAACAACATCTTTTCATTGTGCAAATTTCTGCTTACTTAACATTTTGGCTGTCAGATCATTTCGGATTTCAGCCTTTGGCACCAGAGTTGCTCAGTCTGTACTGCACAAGTCCCTCCAACTGTCCACACCTCAGTTTCCCCACGTGTAAAATGGTAGGGGGTTAAAGGAGACTGGGCTGGCAGGTCACATGCATGGTGTCTGACCACTGGGAAGAGGAAGGAGGCACTGTGGGGTTCTGTGGTCCCCCCCCCGCACCCTTGCTGGTGAATAGATCGGGGCTTCCATCTTGGCCTCCCCAGCCTCCCTCGGAGTTTGGCAACCTCCAGTTCTGCCTTGGCTACAATGACTACCTGAGCCGCCTGACCGTGGTTGTGCTGCGTGCTAAGGGCCTCCAGCTCCAGGAACACAGGGGTGATGTCAGTGAGTCCCCCCGCCCTTTCCCCTCTTAGGGAATCTCCCACCCTCTAAGCCTGGGCCCTGGGGTTGGAATCTGACCTTAGCCATACCACTTTCTTTTCTTTCTTTCTGGTTAGTCACAGGGCTTGAACTCAGGGCCTGGGTGCTGTCTTTGAGTTTTGTGCTCAACCCTAGTGCTCTACTACTTAAGTTACAGCTTCACTTCCTTTTTTGGGGGAGGGTAGAGGGATGGTTAATTAGAGGTAAGACTCTCACAGACTTTTCTGCCTGGGCTGGCTTGGAACTGTGATTCTCAGATCTGAGCCCCCTGAGTAGTTCCAATCATAGGTGTGAGCCACCGGTGCCTAGCTCACCACCCAACTTTCTACCTGCACGCACCCCATCACCAGCTACTCACTATCTCCTGTGTCCTGCCCTCCACAGTGGACAAGTCTGGTAGGAGAAGCCTTTTTCTACAGTGAACCCAAGGCTGTAGTCATTCTATCCTACCAAGAGTTCTACTTTGACCCAAGACCATCCTTTCCTCAGTGCAGAGTCTCCTGGAACTGTCCTTTACCTCCACCTATCCCTCAGCCTGGCACCCCCCAGCCCCTGGAGGAGGAGCTTCATGCCCATAGTCTGGTTTTCTTCCCTCTGCCTCTCAGAACACTGAAATCAAGAGCCATGGCCCTGCTAGGCATTGGTAACACATGCCTATAATCCTAGATACTCAGGAGGCTGAGATCTTGAGGATCTCGGTTTGAAGTCAGCTCAGGCAAGAACATGTGTGAGACTCTTATCTCCAGTTAATCAGCAAAAAAGCCAGAAGTGGAGTTGTGGCTCAAGTGGTACAGTGCTAGCCATGAGTTAAAAAAAAAAAAAAGCTAATGGACAGTGCCCAGGCTGTGAGTTCAAGCCCCAGGACTGGCACCAAAAGAGAGAGAGAAAGACAGAAACAGAGACAAAGACTTGGCCCTGGCCTACCCTCCTAACCCAACCCTTTTTAATGCCCCCAACAAGGTGGAGGTGCGTGCTACTGCCTGGTGGGTTTTGTACCTACGGTGTCAAAAGCAGGTTGGGAGCCAAGCCTCCACTGTGGATCTAAAGCCATCTGAGTCCCACCCTCAGCCCTTTGAACAAACAGCTGCTCCAGAGACCCCTGGGGGGCTTGAGGACCATGAGCCCTCTTCCCAAAAGGGAGGGACGGGCTCTCATACATCGGACAACTCCCAAGGCAGAGAAAGGAAAAGGCAGGAAACCCAGTGTTTCCTTGGCTAGAAGCCATCCCACTAATCAACCTTGTTTCCTCTTGTCACCTCCTCTGGTCTCGGTGGCTGAGAGCAAAGGGGCCTTGGCACTGAGATTGGGCATGTGTCCTCCTAAGCCAGAGCTCCCACGGGTGGAGGCTGGGCCCTGCCTTCTTCTCCCTGCCCACTGGTGTGTTGCTGCCCCTTAGGTGTATATGTCAAACTGTCTCTGATGAACCACAACAAATTTGTCAAGTGCAAGAAGACTTCGACTGTCCTGGGCTCCATCAATCCTGTGTACAATGAGACCTTCAGCTTCAAGGCTGATGCTGCCGAGCTGGACACAGCCAGCCTCAGTCTGACGGTGTTGCAGGACACTGAAGGGGACAGTAAGGCTGGGGCTGGGACCTGGGCTTTTGGGGCAATGGGCAAAGGAGAGGCTGCCAAGAAAGAGTGAATAAAGAGCTGGGAAGGTGGCTTTGTGGTAGAGTGCTTGCCTAGCATGCATGAAGCCCTGGGTTCGATTCTGCAGTACCATATAAACAGAAAAAGGTGGAAGTGGTACTGTGGCTCAAGTGATAGCAAAAGAAGCTCACGGACAGTGCCCAGGACCTGAGTTCAAGCCCCAGGACTGCCCCCCCACCCCCCACCAAAATGAATACATGACTACTAAAGGAGCCATCTGACTCCTGGTTATAGACACTCACTGTCAGAGAGGCTGAGGTCCATGGCCAAAAACACACATCTCGTCATCAGGACTGGGGCTTGAGGAGTTCAGCTTTGGTCCAGTTGGACTCTGTGGGCTTCCAGAAAGAGGATTAAGATTGTTCTCTGCTGCTTTACTTGGGCAAATCTGCAGAGAGATCAGGAGGCAAGATGGCTGTCTTGGTCAACAGTGCAGTGACCTGTGCTTTGGCCTTGTGCACTCTGCATTTTTGTCCTGCCTTCTAAAAATCCTTTAAGATCCTTGGGGAGAGGGAGAAGGTGTCAGATCAACCAGGGACCCCACACTGCCTGTCGCCAGCCATGCACTGCCACTATCCGGGAAGGAGAGCCATCAGGCTATGGCTGGTCACTTGGGCTAGATGTAGGACCCATCTCCCGTGCATGTGGCAGTTAGGAAATAGACATCACTGTGGCTTGTTCTAACTTCTGAAGGCAGCTGATGGGAGACACCTCTCTAGGGAGGCCCTTTTCCTCTGCCATCCCCTTGGCATGCAGTGGGCATAACACACCCTGCAGATGCGGATGAGGCTCCCTCTCCTGGGGTTTCCCAGAGACAAGAAATAGCTCTTGCTGGGTGCTGTGGCTTGCACCTGTAATCCTACCTACTCAGGAGACAGAGATAAAAGCCAGAAAAGTTTTGTGAGACTCTTCTCTCCCATGAAGCAGCAAAATAAAGGGGGGAGCAGAAATGAAGCTGTGGCTCAAGGGGTAGAGGGCCACCCTTGAGCAAAAAAAAAAATCAATCAAGAGAGCAAAGCCCTGAGTTTCAGCCCCAGTACTGGCACACGTATGTACATGCATATGTGTACACATACAGCCCTTTAGAGCAAAATAAAGACCCTCTTGAAGATCTTGAGTTGCTTTGAAAGAAGGAGACTTGCTACTTCCTTCAAGGAAGTGAAAGTCAGAGAAAGAAATCAGTAGGGATGTCAGGATGTGAGAAATATATCCTCTATGCTCAAGATTAACAGCGCTCCCCCCACCTCTCTCTCTCTCCACTGAAGAGAGCCACCCACTGGGCCGTGTGGTGCTAGGCCCCTACATGTACTCCCGAGGCAGGGAGCTGGAACACTGGAATGAGATGCTCAACAAGCCCAAGGAACTGGTGAAGCGCTGGCATGCGCTCTGCAGCCCCTCTGAGCCATGACACGGCACCTGGAGCGCACAGCTCTCGCAATTGCATGCAACAGGCAGCCGCCAGCATGGATGTTTCACCCAACATCTCACTGTGCTGTGGGGCCAGCAGGAGGCATGGCAACGTGAATGCTGCTGTACAGCGGAGAAGAGGAACAAGGGAGCCTGCCCTGTCTGCAGGTATGGCCACACACTCCACCCCTCTTTACCTGAGGGGCTGCCTGGACTGGAACGCAGATCATGATCCTGCTCATCACGGTCATGATTTATAATGGGATCTCAGGTGTCTCGAACTATTTATGCTGAATGGAAGTTCAAGGTGACCTTGGGACCTGCCAGCACGCTGGCAGTGTGCTGCACTTCTTTCCAAGCATTGGTTTCATGTCAAGTCTTGCTCATGACGCATCCTCCCCTAGAGGCCCAAACTTCTCTTCCTTATATGTGATCTGTCGCTGGCTTCTGTGCTGGCCTTAGCCAACAGTATTCAGCCCTTTGGGCTCCCACTTTCAGTAGAAAATGGTGAAGGAATGAAGCCATGGCATAGCCCATGGGCCTGAGAACTTTTCTCCTAAACCTGACAATCCATGTATGACTTTCATGCCTAGTAGACATCAAGGCCATTATGAGGGCAGCTGGTCCCCAGTGGCTCACGCCTGCAATCCTGGTTACTCAGAGAGTTCAAAACTACCCTGGCAGAAAAAAATCCATGAGGGAGGTTGGGAAGGTGGCTCAGTGGTAGAGCACTTGCCTTGCATGCCTGAGGCCCTGGGTTCGATTCCTCAGCACCACATAAGAAAAAAGCTGGAAGTGGCACTGTGGCTCAAGTGGTAGAGTGCTAGCCTTGAGCTGAAGAGCTGAGGGACAGCACCCAGGCCCAGAGTTCAG